ATCCATAGTTAGTATATCTTTAGATAATTTATTTCGTAGATTCTTCGGGCCAAGTACAATAACTTTTGGTCATGTTTAACATCAAAAAGTTTAAGGTCATCCACGTTTTTAAGTCTTTGAGGCAGTCTTGAATTTTATTTAGATAATTAATTTCATCAGGCTTGATTGATAAATATAGTTGAGTATCATCCGCATAACAATGAAAGTTTACAGAATGATTCCTTATAATATTGCCTAACGGAAGCATATATAATGTGAACAAAATATGTCCGAGCACTGAGCCCTGTGGCACTCCATGGCTAACTTTGGTTTGCGTGGAAGATTCATCGTTGACACGTACAAACTGAGAGCGTTCAGATAGATAGGACCTAAACCAGCCTAAAGCAGTTCCCTGTATGCCAACTAAGTGCTCTAGTCTTTGCAATAAGATATCATGGTCGATAGTATAAAATGCAGCACTGAGATCGAGCAAAACAAGAATAGAGACAAGTCCCTTGTCTGAGGCTATTAGAATGTCATTTGTGACTTTAACCAGAGCTGTCTCTGTGCTATGATGTGTTCTAAAGCCAGACTGAAAATCTTCAAATAAATCATTGTTTTTTAAGTAATCACACAACTGTTTTGCGACTGCTTTCTCAAGAATTTTTGAGAGGAACGGAAGATTAGAAATAGGTCTATAGTTGGCTAAAACCTCTGGATCGAGGTTGTGCTTTTAAGAAGCGGTTTTATCACTGCTACTTTGAATGATTGTGGAACATAGCCTGATAATAAAGACATATTCATAATATTTAATAAAGAAGTGCTAATTAATGAAAAAACTTCCTTCAACAGCTTAGTTGGAATTGGGTCTAACATACACGTTGATGGTTTAGAAGAGAGAATCATTGAATTTAATTGTTCAAGGTTTATGGCTGAAAAGCATTCTAGTTTACTATCTAGTGTAATATTAGAACTTACGTTTCCGGGAGCTGTTGATAACACTATACTGGTCAAAGGCAAGAGGTCATTAATTTTGTTTCTAAGAGTAACAATTTTATCGTTAAAAAAGCACATAAAATCATTACTACTGAGTGCTATGGGAATAGAAGGCTCAATCGAGCTGTGGCTCTCCGTCAGCCTGGCTACAGTGCTGAAAAGAAATCTTGCATTATTCTTATTCTCATCTATTAATGAAGAGTAGTAGGCTGCTCTCGCTTTACGCAGTGCTTTCTTATATTCATTGAGAGTAATATGCCAAATTAAACGAGATTCTTCAAGTTTAGTGGAACGCCATATCCTTTCAAGTTGTCTCGACTTTTGCTTTATTTTGCGGGTTTCGGCATTATGCCATGGAGCTAATCTATGTTGTTTTATTTTCTTCTTTTTCAAAGGAGCAACAGAGTCTAATTTTATTCGCAGCGCATCTGTAGCACTATCAACAACATGATCAATTTGGGGTGGTGTACATTTTGTATACGTTTCCTCCCGCAGACATGCTATCGAGTTAAGTATTGGTGGAATCTCTTCCTTAAATTTGGCTATACTGTAGCACTAACAGATAGGTTTCTGTTGCAGGAGCTTTTGACTAATGCTTTGTAGTCTAGTAACAGTACTTCAAAAGTTACTAAGAAATGGTCGGATAAAGCAGGATTATGCGGTTCGACTAATAGTTGCTCGATTTCAATACCATAAGTCGGAACAAGGTTGAGAGTGTGATTATAGCAGTGGGTTGGTTTATTTACACTCTGACAGAAACCAACAGAATCTAATATAGAGTTAAATGCAACAGTAAGGCTATTTTTATCATCGTCAACATGAATATTAAAGTCACTTACGATAATTACTTTATCTGTTTTAAGTACCAAAGTTGATAACAACTAAGAATTCTGAATAAGGACCTGGTGCACGGTACACTGTAACAAATAAGATTGGCTGCAAAGATAAAGCAGGATTATGTGGTTCGACTAATAGTTGCTCAATTTCAATATCATAAGTCAGAACAAGGTCGAGAGTGTGATTATAGCAGTGGGTTGGTTTATTTACGGTGATGTGAGGCCCCACGCAGTCTGCATGATCTGCCTGTAGGGAGGGACGGCCCTGAAATGGAGAGTAACCTTAGTTTAGACTTTGGCTCTCTCTCGTTGGTGTGCAGACTCAGAAAGAGGGTGTTTCTCAATGTCGAGGAAGGCTGCTCCAGAGCCACTGGCCGTTTCTCAATTTCGAGGATTCTGGCTTCCAAGCCAATATTTCAAGGATGCTACGTCATCGAGTGCCGCCGAAGGACTGTTCCAATCTCCAGCATACTTGGAATTCCACCGAGGCCGCGTCCTTGGTTTGGGGGAAATTTCGAGGCTGCACATGGGTAGACTTCGCGTCCTTAAAATCCCCACAATGCTTTGCGCACGGACCAATTTCAAAAACCCTTGCGGAGAATTGCTGAACCGATGTGTGTTGGTAAACATGTGTTGGTAAATATGTTACTTTGTTACATTTGTTTGTTATCACCAAAAATGTGTTCCGTGAAAGTAAAGCAAGTTCATAACTAGAAAATGCATTTCTTGCAGAAAATGCGTGCGAATGCTGTAAACTGTGAACATTTATGGCTGAATTTAGCCAGTGCTGGAATTGGAATTGGAATTTTTCATTCCAATTCAAGCACTGAATTTAGCTGAAAATGCAGAAAAAGCTGAATATGTTATTAGCTGAATGGTAGCTGCTTTTAGCTACAAAAATGCAGAAAAAGCTTAATATTTCAAAGAAAAGGTTTAAAAAAAGGTATAAACAACAACATGCCTTGATGTCCTGAAATAGCTGAATAATGTAATAGTTGAATGGGTTCTGCAGCTGAAAATAGGCTGAAGGAGTTAAATATCAGATGTAAGTAGTAGTGAATGAATTTGTATTAAGATGAGAAAAGAAAGTAAAAAGGCTTGGGAAAGCAGCAGAATATTTGAACTGTAAACTTTTGAACTAACTTGATGGTGAATTATCTGTCGCCATGGCAATAGCATTTGATGACACCCCATAATACGCTTAGATGTGTTGATGGCTGCATCGTTACCAAACCAGTGACGTTTTGGGCCATTTCGAGTATTTTCACTGAAGTTATGAGAAAACCATGTTTCATGGTGAGCATTGTGTTGCCATGGCAACGGCATTTGAAGAAATCTCAAAACTGTCCCGTAGATGTCTTCACGGCTGGACTGTTAGCACACGTGAAGTTTGAGCACTCTTTGAACATTTGCATAGGCGTTATAGTGACATCATATTTTATGGCGAGGGATACGTTTCCATGGAAACGGCATATGGTGAGATCTCAGATTTGGCGTAAAGCTGTTGAGGCATGGACCGGTGATATACAAGTGAAGATTGGGGGACGATTGGACCGTGTCCATTGGACTTATAGCGACATCATGTTTTATGGCGAGGGATGCGTTTCCATGGAAACGGCATATGGTGAGATCTCAGATTTGGCGTAGAGCTCTTCAGGCATGGACCGGTGATATACAAGTGAAGATTGGGGGACGATTGGACAGTGTCGATTGGACTTACAGGCTCATCGTGTTTCATGGCGAGTGGTCTGTCGCCATGGCAACGACATTTGATGACACCCCATACTACGCTTTGATGCATTGATGGCTGCATCGTTATCAAACCTGTGAAGTTCTGGGCTGTTTGGAGTATTTTCACTGAAGCTATGAGAAAACCGTGTTTCAAGGCGAGCATTGTGTTGCCATGGCAACGGCATTTGAAGAAATCTCAAGACTGTCCCGAAGATGTCTTCACAGCTGGACTGTTGAAGTCTGCTGCATGTCCGCTGGAGTGATGACATTATCGTGTTCCATTACACAGGTGTTTATAGTTGAGCTAACGAGGTGTGTAGAGATCACAGGTTTCCATTGTTCTGAATGAGAGATGAACCTCTTACATGTGAACGTTTTGTGGAAGAACCGTAACAGATATCTGTGAAATTTCAAAACGTGAAGCATGTCAAGGAAGTTGAGTATCTGAAGTGTAATTTTTGTGTACTTTCGGGTTAATAATGTGGCCTTTTTGGCAGTTTAACTAAAGGTGTGCGGCTGCTACCGTGAGGAAATATCTGCCTGAAATTACAATGGGCTTTAATGGAGGCATGTTGAACGTTTTTGTCACTTCATGCCCTCAAGAGGCATTTTGTTTAATATCTTTTCAACCTAGGAGAGGTTTTCCTACGTTTTCCATGAAAAAATATGTCTGAGGAGTGTAGGGTTTGGGAATTATGGCAAGTTTAAAAAAAATTTGGGGGAGAATTTCGAGCTGTCCTGCACTCTGTTTTGAGATCAAAGCACTCTTGAGTTAACGAGCTGCTCCATCCACTCTAATGTTAAAATCTGAAAAAGGCCTCTCTGCTAAGCTCCAAACTAAATTCAATATCTCAAAAAGTTTAAAAGATATCAAAAATCTTTTATACAAGTTTTATAGCTGAAGGTCTTGTGATCATTTGAAAGTTGGAATGAAGTGTCTGGCTGAAAGTATGTGGAAGGAGTAGCATTTGGTGCAAAGTGTAGGAAAAGTGGATTTGAAGGCATCTCCCATTGGCTTCAATGTTAAAAAAAGAGTTTAAAAAGATGAATATTTCAAAAAGTATGAAATATTTTGAAGAAATTGAAGGTTTCCCATCGATTCCTGAACATGCTGAATAGTTTAATATTTGAATGGTTTCTGTAGCTGAAAATAAGCTGAAGTTATGGAGTGCCAAAATATTGGCTGAAATAAGTTTAAGGGGAAGAATAAAGATTTGAAGAACTATAGTGGAATGCTGTAAACAGCATTCGCACTAATTAGATAGACATCGTGAGGTATTTATTTTGGTACAGTTTATGTTGAAACCGTTAGAGAGAGATTATATCCACACAGCACAGTCTATTTCCAGGCTCCAAAATCAATTATACCAAAAAACAACTTCATATTTACATATCAGGAATTGCACATTAAAAAACATATACATACTATTAGTTAAAAAGTGCAGAACAAGCAACATCTATTTTTGCAGCAATGTTTCGTGCCAATTCAAGTTTATTCTTTTAGAAGCCTGAACCACTTACAGTACATCTTGACCTAATTTCTAAACATTTAAAATGATTAATCCCAATGAGGTAACTATTACAATGACAATAAGCAGTCATATTAACTTCCATAATTCTTATCACCGGATTTATTTGAAAATCATCATAAAAACACAAACAACAAAAATAATTACATTTGAAAACAGGTTTGAAAAGTAAATAAACGTGAAAAGCCACACATAGTTAATATTTTCTTCACTCCAATAATGAATCGGCCTGTGGTTTAAAATAATAAAAATATAAGAGCTAGGAAGACATAACCACATAACATCTAAATATAAACAAATTATTTGCCACACTTACTATAGCATATGCCATAAATAAGAAAAAGGTGATTTGAAGCATCATACTGGACCAAAGAGTTTCTCATCTGTGTGTCAGCTATATATTTTGTACTCTGCTGCCATTTAAATGTGTAGTAGTGAATGCAGCAGCAGCATAATACATATTAGCGGATATAAAGTAATATATGAAGCTGAGGAAATTATTTTCTATCCAAATGTAACAGTATCTGCTTTCAGCTTAATATATTCTAAAACATGCTGAAATTAATCAATCAGGGTATTCACAATTTCCTTTCTATGATGAAAATGTATAAAATAAAAAAAACAGCAAGGATTATTCAAGTAACCAGTTTTGCATCCGAGTTCCCCCCCCAAAAAAACGGATTATTATGTGTAAAAAACCTATAATATAAACTGATATACTTTGAAATAACTCACTCAGCATGTATTTAAGTGCATTGATTATAATAGCAGTTCCGAAATCAAGGACACAATGTTATTGAAAAGGAAAGCTAAAAATCAAAATGTTAAAGGCACATTGAGTCTAATACAATTTTGTGAAGCAGTTAAGATGCAGATAAAACCCATTTCAAGCAGTAGAATTTTAGATATACATACTTTTTCAGTCTAAATATGTGATTTCAAGATTTTTCAGACTCATACCCTGAATTTCTATGACATGTTCGAACAGCTGTTTGGTGTTGTAGCGGTGGATCGGACCTCTCCCTCTCTCAGACACCAAAGATGATCCTGATGTCGGCCAGGGAGAGTTTGGTGGCGGTGCTTCCCTTCCCGGAGAGCACGTTCTGGGCCAGCTCCTTCTTCTTCCCCTGCAGTACGGAGATCTTATCCTCCACCGTGCCGTCACACACAAACCTGGAGACACAAAAAACTATTTGATTACACACAAATATACCAAACTATTACATACTTATGACAAACAGACCACCAACAATGAGGAAGATTCAATAGAGTGCCACAGTGACACGTCCTAAAACCCGGAAGTAAACTCCTTCGGTTCCTTCGACAAAAACCAATGCAATTTCTCCATAGGATTTTGGAAAATAGCTGGAAATAAGGTCTGTGGTCGACACGCATTTAAGAGACGGATCAGGTTTTGTTCAGCCGGATAATCTCCACATGTCTACACCAGGGTTTCCGCTAGGATTTTTTCTCGCCGGTCAAATGTCCGGGCAGAATTTATTTTACCGGATAAATTTGAAACTTACCGGTCATATTTCAATAATAATAATAAGAGTTGTGTAGCAGAGTTTCCGTTAGCAGGTAATCACCGGACTATGAGCAGATATGCTGATGTTTAAAACTCAGTTCACGGGGCTCATTTTTATATTGCTTCAGTTTATAATCGTAACAGATCAAAAAGTTCAGATTCATTTTTCAATAAATGATTCCACAAACAACAACATAATTAATACATTCAAACAAACTACTTGTAGTAGATGAAGTACATTATTCAAAAGTTTACATTAACTTTGAATAATCACACGGGAGAAACGGATGCTCTCTTTTCCCCTCTCCCTCCCTCTCTCTCCTGACAGCCCGTCAGTTTCTCATGCAGCTCCTGCAGCTCGCTAAACAGTGGGCGGGGCTTCAGGTGATTATGCAGAGCTGCGTGTCTCGGTCAGACTCAGCAGCTGATCTGATCTCTCTCTCGCGTGTCCGGTTATACTTCACTCGCGTTTATGTCCATATCGATCAGATCCAGCTCTCCTGATCGGGCTTTATAGAGAGCACCGATCAAACTATTAACAGTGAATATCGGCCGATAATGACCGGTGGCCGATCTATCGGAGCCTCCCTAATTATTACCAGACATTTTGACCGGCAGGTTTTGAATTTACCGGTTTTTAATACATTTTACCAGCTAAAAACCGGTAATTACCGGCTAACGGAAACCCTGGTCTACACTACTTTCAAAATGTTCGAATCATAAATCTATCGATTAGAAAATGATTAGGGTCCAATTTAGAAATAATGTTAGGATACTAATTTCCCATGAATCTGTGGGTTGCTTCCTATATGACAAAACAATTTAATTTGATCTCTGCTTTTGGAAACTTCCTTCCACAATATTATTATGTTGGATTTAATACCATAAAATACAACCTTTTAAATTCATAATGTATGAGATTAAACACAACATATTAATGCTGCATTTGCACAAACAACCTTTTAGCCAATAAAGTCTATAAATGCTTGATCTTTTTTACACTAATGATGAAACAAGCCAGACAGATAAAGCTTAAAGTCCAGTTAGTTTGTGCTGAAATATCGATTATAAGCTTCTGTATTTACAAAACACTTTCTGCACTGCCAAACACCATAAAGCAATGTTCCTGTAGTTTCCATGCATTTTGCAAATCTGGTATGTTTTTATTTTGTACTTACTTACAATGTTAAATATACTATTCTATATTAAACATTTCGATGCATTCATTTAATAAGGTACTTTTAAAGTACTACTCTGCTTTAGGCCATTGAACTGTATTGGTGTTTTGTGTTCTGTCAATTTAGATACTGCCCTCTTGCACTTATGCAACATGATGCAATAGTAATTCTGATTATTGTTACCTGTGGATTGTGACATCTTTAACTTGTCCAACTCTGTAGATCCGGTCACAGGCCTGATCCTCCAAGGCTGGGTTCCTATCAAAGTTCAAAAGTATTCAGAGGTTAAAACATCAACCTTTCTCAACCTGAACATGTCCAAAAAAAGCTCACTTCATTAGTAGCATTACACATTCATCCGTTTGTGTGAAATTCACTACAGAAGAGACGGTTTTTAATCTACTCTTTTGGGTTTGTGTGTGTCTCACCAGTGCATGTCAATGAGGAAGAGGTGATTTCCACCAATAAGATTAAGTCCGACCCCTCCAGCACAAAGAGACACCAGCATCACCTTTTGGACAAAAACAGAAATATTAATCAGTTTTTTTTGCATTTAATCTCAATATGTTAATACTGGTAGAAGTCCAGTTAGGAAAACTGATCCTAAGCTAAACTTTAGAAACTTTATTCAACTAGGTATTTACATTTATGAGACAACATGAATGTGAGTGTAGACTAGAGTTTTGGTCGAGCTGTACCTGTGGTCCATCTGGTTTAGTGTTGTATTCTGCTTTCATACCCGTTGTCTTATTAAACTTTAATTTATTGATTTACCTAAAAATATTCTAAAACATCAGTTAAGGTATTCACTATAGAGTGCCACAGTGACGCGTCCTAACACCCGGAAGTAAACTCCCTCTGACAAAAACCAATGCAATTTCTCCATAGGATTTTGGAAAATAGCTCGAAATAAGGTCTGTGGTTTTTGTCAAAGGAACCGGAAGTGGTAAAATGCTAACTTACTTCCGGGTCTTAGGATGCGTCACTGTGGCACTCGATTACTTTCAATTATGAAATGTATATAATAAAAAAAAAACTCCCAAGGATTATTCAAGTAACCAGTTTTGCATCCGAGTTTCCCAAAAAAAAACAGATTATTATGTGTAAAAAAACATTAATATAACCTGATATACTTTAAAAAAAACTCAGTTAAAGCAGCATGTATTTGAGTGCATTGATTATAATAGCAGTTCTGAAATTAGGGACATATGCCCCTTTCACACCGCAGCGGCGCCGGCTCTTAGCTCCGGAATTGGGTTCACTTCCAGCTCCAAAAAATTGTCGGTCTAGAGGCAAGAGCTTCGGAGCTAAGAGGTGGCGTCGCTTACGTCTCTCTTACGTCGAGGCGTGCAGGAAACTAAACCCTCCTCCCCTGAACATGGGTCCACTGTCATGCCTGCCTACAAGCAGTAGTGCTTATAAACACACTTTATAAAGTCAGGCAACACTAACCAGGCTTCGTGTGATTCTGTTTATTTGTACCTTACTTTGACCATCCGTTCACTGTTATTGATCATTGTGGAGAGAGGCAGACGTGTTGTTTTGTATTATAGCAGCTATCGGATGGAATCAATACATGGGCTGCACAGGTTGTCGTGTCCGACTATCACAAGTAGAATCATAATAAAAATACGCCGGTAAAATGTGCCTGTCGAAAACGGTTTATGCCACAATAGGATAGCAATAGCAAGTAGTCAGTTTAGCTTCGGTTGCTATGCTAACATCACCCATTTTATACCAGAGAAACTTTCATAACAGCGTTGTGATCCCAAACAGCGTCAATTCAGACTGACACACATTCACTTAAGGGGAACTGGGGATATGTATCAGCTGCTTGTGTGAGTCGGACAGTGAATACTTTAGAGCGGCCGCTGCAGTGTGAGCTAACCGGGAGCTAACGGAGGAGAATAAACTCCCGTGGAAGAGCAGCCAACACTGCAGCGGTCGGTAAATGCCGCAGAAACACATTAATAAACAATGAACCACGGCACTCTGGAGCAAAGTATAAGGTTGGAGAAGTCGTTATTCAATTTAATCTGGCTTCGTGTGATTAAAAGCAACACGATCATCGACCCGACGCAGTTCCCCGTTGTTGTTGTTGTGAGCGCCGTAACGCCGTTGGGGAGCAAATCAGCGATGTAAACGATGACGTCATGACGCAGCAGCGGCAGCACCAGTCGGGTGCTGGGCGGTGTGAACAGAGCGGGAGCAGAAAAGGGAAACCGGAGCTGAACCAGAAAAGCTCCCGCTCGGAGCTAGAAAGGGAAAAGCGCTGGTGTGAAAGCCGCAATAATGTTATAGAAAATCTCAATATGTTAATTGTTATACTGGTCGAAGTCCAGTTAGGAAAACTGATTCAAAGCAAAACTTTAGAAACTTTCGCCCACTAGGTATTTACATTTGTGTGACAGAGAGTGCAGAGAGTTTTGGTGGTGTTGTACCTGGGGTCCGTCTGGGTTCGTGTTGAATTCTTCCACCAGATCCATGCGGCGTTTGGGGTTGACCGTCCCGTCGATGACAGCGTACCTCAGGCCCATCTGACTCAGGTGAACGGCTACGATTTTCAGCATGCTGGTCCACTGGGACACGATGACGCTACACATGACCAGAGGACAGGAACAACAAGTAGATTACACACATGACGGTAACATGTATTGGTGTCTTAGAGTTGTTCATATGGTAGTTGCAATCAAATAAAAATATAAATTAGTTTTTTACCTTTTCTGATCATCACCCTTCTCTCTGATTGCATGCAATTCCGAGACAATAGCAGCAATCTGAAAGAATAGTTAGTTCATTTGTTGATCAAATCTTAACGAAACAACACCACTGACACAGGAAGATGTGTGATATTCTGTACCAATATGCACTCACTTTGTACATGTAGCCTTTAAGCTATGATAAGTCAGTCAGATCTTCATAAAAAATGACTTCATCCACTATCAAGCAATAGCTTCTTCTGATAATTTATATAGACTTTTGAAAATGATGTAGTAGTTACAGGGGGTTACAGAAGGGCTCAAATAAAAAAAATAACGTGCAACCTTTACTAAACAGAGAGCACATCAAAACTCCTCAACCATGGTGGCCTTCTGTGAGTGAAACAATAGCCATCCAGCAGACATCAGACACATTCTCACATTCGGTGGGTTAATTGCAGAGTTAGGCTGCTTTGCACAAAGGACGCCCACCTTGGTGCTCTCACTGGTGTTTTCAAACAGCTTTGAGGGGAAGCGAGTGCCGTTCAGGGCCACAGTGTCAGTGTGTTGAGGGTCTGATGGGGAGGGGCTGGAGGAGAGGCACAGAGCGTTCAGCTGCTCCTCCAGAGACAGGACGATCCCGTCACCCTGCAGCTCCGACGTGTCCAGAGTCTGAGCAGAGAGAGACCAGGACATCAGGGACTGTGTGTAGTAAGTAGGCAGCCGTTTGTGTGTAGGCTTTTTTTTTTTTCTTTATTAAGGAGCGCAGATTTAACAGACAATACAACCATTTTTTTCCCCACATTTCCTGGTTCATTATTACATTATTACTAGGGCTGTGCGATTATGGCAAAAATCATAATCACGATTATTTGGGTCAATAATTGATATCACGATTATTTTGACGATTATTCATTGACCATTTATTGAACTTTAAAACAAATAATATTTTACCAATAAACAAGATCAACAAATATGTTGGAGCGCACTTCCAAAACAATACCAAACATATATTATTAATATGATAAATAAAAATAAATTAGACCAAAATAAATGAAATCAAATATGTTGCAGTGCACTGTCACAACCTACTGAAAACTCCTTAACATATAGCCAACATTTTGGTAAAACATATTCATTATTCCACTCAGTTAAACGTTGAAGGCTGGCCAACCGTCATGGTCCAGAAGTAACAGGAAATAAATGTTGAACTACAATTTAAGACCAAATAAAAATGTTTTGGCCACCATGGCAAATGCTGGTAGGGCTGCTCGTGTCATCTCTTAAAGATTTTTTGCAAGAAACACCAGGCTGTTTACATGGTCTGGTTTCAGAGATGAGCGCAGGCAGGTGACAATATTGCCACCTGTACTGAAGACCCTCAGCCACGCCCCGACACAGGGGTGACGCCGGCCAATCACAAAGCTTTGATGCGTTCAAGTGCATTATTCTGGCACAGGAAGATTATGTTACAGGACATTAACGATAAAACAGAATATTGTTGTTCTATTTTTAGACACATCTCGCGATCGACTGGTTGGGCACCCCTGGGCTAGACCATAGGTCCGTTGTGGTGGCAAAGTAGTCAGCTGAAGCCACATCTCTCTCAACTTCCCCACGGCATTTGTCACATAGCGCAGGCAGCGCAGACCTGCTGAAATAATACCGAGACGGCATCGTAACGCTTGTCCAACGTGTTGACAAGTTGCTTAAAGCCCTGGTTGCTAACAGTGCTAACTGGGCACATATCTTTAGCGATGTGGAATGTAATGGCAAAGTACTTGCAAATAGTGGAAATAGTTGTACCCTTCTTTTTAACGAGTTGCTGCTCTTGTTCTGACATCTTCGCTCGCGCTGAACACTCACAACACATGTCACTCCCACGTGGCCGAGTGGGCTTTTAGGGAGGGGCGAAAGCGCACCCAGCAAAATAATCGTATTTTGTCAATTATGCTGTTTTCATAATCGTCGCAAGCCATAATCGTAATCGCGATTAAAATACGATTAATTGCACAGCCCTAATTATTACATTTGTTCATTTGTTACATATAAGAAAACAAACAGAATCCCCCCACCCTCACAAGAACTGGAAAATTGGTCACAGCATTGTATCGCTTACCTATCCTGATACATTTCACATGATAAAGAGCAAAAAATAAATTAAACACAATTTCTTTTAATACAAAATACATTTAAAAAATAATAATAACTAAAGGGGGGTTTTTTGATTGAAGAGAAAATGGTTCAACTGTGTTTTATATATACAGTCTATGGTTAAAGTGTGTGTGTGTGTGTGTGTATGTGTGTGTGTGTGTGTGTGTGTGTGTGTGTGTGTGTGTACCTTCTTCAGTAGTGACAGGTGACAGCAGCACTGGCGGAGGCGCAGCAGCAGGGATAGGATGTGCACGGTGCTGGACGCCTGCTGAGGCTGCTGGGAACTGGAGGCAGCCGGGTCAGACTGGGAAATACCGAACTCCTGGGCCACTGGGGAGGAAAGACACACACACACACACACACACACAGTTATTGCCACTCACGCATGCGCAGTTCGTACGTGCTACTTGGCCGTCGGCTGAAGTCTTTGCGGTGTGTTCCAGTGCGACACATGGCCAAGACGCAGGAGACGTGAGGCGACACAACAGTCGGGTCCGTCGGGACGTGTTCTTTGGTGTCAGATGGGTGTGTAGGGCCCTTAAGAGTTATCATACACCAATGATCTCACCTTTGTCAAAGGGATTGGAACTGGAAGCCTTTCCTTTTGTCGCATCAGTCCCTTCATGTCTCTTCAGGTAGTTCTGCAGAGTCGATCTGGAGGGAAAGAGCAAATCACCATTCTAGTTTAAATTCAAGCTTTTTCTTCATCCATCTAAGCGACGATGGGATCTGTTTTTGCATAAATCTTTTGTTAAATTAAAGTTAAGTTGTTTTACTTGGATTTGGCAAAGACCACATCATACACAGCCTGTTCGTCCTTTGACAGTTTGAGTTGGTGCACCTCGCAGGTACGATCAGGAAGAGACACCTGAAACATTCAACAGTTCAGCCAGCATCAAGAGAGAGTGTGTTTACATGAACCATTTAACACCTAAGCTGCAGCCTGCAGGGAGTCAGGTCTGTTACTCTGAACAAACCTAGAGTTAGGCTTGACCAGATTCTCTGCCTTCATCTAAAGACAAGTCAAAGTGGAAGGTTTGTCTGTCCTACCAGAGGCTTTCCGGAGGAGTCCAGCTGGGTTTTGGTCCGTCGCAGCAGCAGAGTCCTGGTCAGGATGTTGAGTCTCTCTCTGCCTCGGTTAGAGCCGTTATCTACCTGAGCTTTCCACAGTTTGAACTCATCAAACGGAGAACAGCGCAGAAACCTGAAGAGAGACAAAGTGAATAACAATAACCTCATTACAATAAACAAAATTCAGGGTCTAAATCATTTCTGAAGAAAAGCATGATTTTACAAAGAAAACGTTGAAGAAGGCTGTTTTCCAGGCTGGTTAATAAATACACATTTTTAAGGTTGAGTCCTTCTTTCTCCATCTGATCATTTTGTTAACACGGTCGAGGCGATGATTTCCAATGAATGTATGTTTGTCTAATATTTCAGATAGTATCTCAAATAGTATTTAATAGATTTCAACCTGTAAAGTTGGATCTATAGCGCCACCTCGTGGACATTAATACTGCAGTCTCAGAAAATCAATTAATCAGTTTAAGACTTTCGTAGTTCCTTAATTTCAATAGATTTAATCTCCTTGGACAGCTGTTTTTATTCACTTGTATTCTAGGTTTAACGTGTTCCAATTTACTTTAATGTACAGAGCACTTTACCTGAACAATATCTGCCATTTAATAAACAAAATCCAAACCTTTATGAATTTGTTCATGCCTTCTTCACATACTTTAAAAAGCTTAATAACACTCGTGAGTTGCTCAACACAATGCTAGACACACTTGTCTTACTGGTAATAGTGCCTCCCATTGATAGGAGGAAGCATTCCTGCCAGGTTAGATTTCAAACGTATTCATTGTTTTCTCACTTGAGCAGCGAGTACATGTCCAGCAGGTTGTTCTGGATGGGGGTCCCGGTGACGGCCCAGCGTGCACGGGCTCTCAGCTGACAGACGGCCATGGAGGTCTGCACCTTTGGGTTTTTGATGCTGTGGCCTTCGTCCAGGACCACCCGGGCCCAGGTCACTCGCAGGAGAGGACCTGAGTTTGACGGCTGGGGAAAACCACAAAGGGATGAAGCATCTGCCAGCGCCTTTAGTGTACTGTAACTATGTCTTATTCACATCTGACAGGCTGAATATGAAGCTTTAAAGCTGATCAATGCTTAAGAGTGTTGGATTTCTTAGAGGCATGGGTAGGAATATCCTTGTCCCCACATTTATGCCTATTGGGCGATACAACAGACATTCCAAAACTGACAAAAAGTGCTCATTCAGTTTTAATGGTTGGCATAACCTCAGCTGCCAGAATTATATTGAGACACTGGAAAGTGTTAGTCTTGTCAATTCTCCGGCCGCAACTCCAAATAAACCACCAGTGTTTGCCATCAAAGCTCCAGCTCTCCTCGTGTCTCTCTGACTCCTGACTCTCCATTGCTACAGAAGTTTCCCCCACAGAAAGCACCCACAATCCCAACATTTAACGAATGGAAGGCTCTGATGAGTGAAACAGCACCATATGAGGTTATGTTGGCAAGAATGAGGGGTTGAGGACCTGTGGTTCTAGGAAGTTGGGAATACCTGACTTCTAACTAGTAGCCTGACTGTAGGACTCTCACAAAAGGGCCTTTGTACAATTATTCTAATCAAGCATCATTTGTTGTTATTATTTTTATTTTATGATCGCTGTAGTGTCTGATTGGTAATCTTACAACTTTGTATTTTTCTGTTTTCTTTTAACCAGGAACACTTAAAGGTAGGGTAGGTAAGAATGGAGAAAGCAGCTCGAGTGCGCTAGAATTTGAAAGTACGCAGCCGAAAATAATCTGCCCCTTCCTTCAGACTTCCTTACAGAGCCCCTCCTCCAACACACACGAACGCGCACATGACCAATGAGGGCACGAGCTAAGTTTGTGCACAGATGGAAGGCTGACAGGCAGGTAGGCCATCCAGTTACTTTAGCCGGGCCGGCTCAGATGATTGGTCGTGCTTTTTACAGCGCCACAGCTTCCACAGATGACGTTTTTGTATGTATTTATTGTCAAAGCATTTCATTTATTCATTGCTATCGGGATGTTAAGAGCATTCCATGGAATATAACAAAAAGTGTTTCTGAAGTGAATTACCTACCCCACCTTTAACTACCATGTTTTGTAGCCTGACCTTCCTCTTTCTGTATGCTGTACCATGTGAGCTATGTACCATGTATGTTCAGAAGTGCTGCTTTCATATACATATATAATATATACACCATAAATGACTTACCACATGATCAGTATCTTTGCTGGGTTTCTCAGCGTCCTCCTTCAGGACGGGGGCCTCCTTAGAGACCAAACTGTAAGTGGTCACCACCACATCATAACCTGCCAGCCTGATGGAGGACAGAGAACACTTCATTCAATTGGGTCTACTTCAACACTCCTTTAAACTGGAATGAACGTTTCTGATTAAGTGTTGAAGCCTTTAACATAATAATTAATATATCAATCTGAATTGTGTACTACAATATTCTGCAACTGATATACACGAGTGATTTCAAAGCAAATTTTCAAGAAGAAATAGGGTAGTAGAGAGAGCAAAAAGAAAACAGTGTTGTGTGCAGAGTTTCCGTTAGCCGGTAATTACCGGACTATGAGCAGTAAAATATGCTGAAGACTGGCACATCTAAATCTCTCCGGTCAAAATAATTTCCACTTAGTGCAATACCGCATCAGTTGCGCCACTTATGTGACAGACAAGAAGAGTGTGTGATGGACAAGAAGAGTGTGTGACAGACAAGAAGAGTGTGTGACAGACAAGAAGAGTGTGTGACGGACAAGAAGAGTGTGTGACAGACAAGAAGAGTCAATTCTAATGTCTAACACTTAATGTGGAGAAAGAGATGTCCTGTATGGGTTGATTGTGCGTTGATCCGAGTCGACACGCAGCTCTGCATGATCACCTGCAGCGGTGAGCGGAGCTACACACACTTCAGGTTAGAATATCACACGTAGCTATTTTAATTACCTCTCTAACTACCGTAACTAGTTATAGATATGTTTAGTTTTACTGTCGGGTCACTCATTACTGGATCCGCGAGCTGCATGAGACTGACGGGCTGTCAGGAGAGAGAGAGCGCTCCGTGTATTATTCCCGTGTTATTGTAAGTTACTGTTCACTTTTGAATAGTTAATCTACTATAGTTAGTTTGTTCAATATCGAATCATATCACTTTGTTTTAAAACTCAATAAATAACAAAGAAGACCTTTGACCGGCACTTTACTCATTTTGTCCGGAAGATTTAAACTTTAACGGACATGTTGACCGGCGAAAAGATATTCTAACGGGAACTCTGGTTGTGTGTAAGTGTGAGCGTGGTTCCCTCACACTTTGGCACTTCTCTCGCGGTTGGGTCCATGGTACAGGCACACCGACAGCTTGCCTGCCTTCAAACGTCTGTCAATCTCCATCTTCCAGTGGTGGACCAAGGAGGCGGGACAGATGATCAGAGTGCCTTTAGACACCACCAGGCTGGAGTCTACAGGATCATCAAACACACTGATCAGAACTATCAAACTCTGAATACTTAGCCTCACATTTTACCTTCAGAATACACACAAAACAAAGAAGTATTCACTTATTTAAATATGATCAGCAGTATTGCTTATATTGCTCTATTCTATCATTACAATGCAAAGACTGAGAACATTTTTCATCACCAGTTTTGGAGATCCAGCCCTCGGCCGGCTTCTCTTCAACTTCCCCTTTTGCTTTGCTTTTCTTGGCCAGTATGAGAGCAATAATTGTGAGGGTTTTCCCCAGACCCATGTCATCCGCTGAATCCAAAAAGAGCAGGAGATGGAAAAAATAAGGAGACAATTAGGATTTGAAGCCTCGTAAACAACATTCTCTGTTCACTGGATGTAAATGGTTTGTCAGATTCTTGTTACAATACATAAGAAAATCAAAAAAATATCTTCAATACATTATTTCCATTCAATCTCCTGTCTAACCAAACAGCTTGACTTCATTTTCTCGAGGGAAGAAATGGTATCAATTTGCAGATATTTCACAAGTTTGGAGAACTTATACATCTCACTGACTTGCTTTCACTTCTTGAAAATGATTATTTCACCTGCAGGGTATCTGCAGGAGTCCTGAAGTCAGATGTAAGACCTTCTTTAAGACCCTTTCCATACATTTTAAGACCTCATCGCCACTTTGAGTTCTAACCGGTTACCTTGGCGACACACTTTACCTCACATTGACTATATACAGTATTGATGGTCCTTCCTCCTTATCTTCCAACCATTTGGACGCAGACTTGCATTTCCCCATAACGATGTTGTTTAACAACCGTGTAAACGGACCTTCGCGCTATCAAGCAGTGAGCGTGCGATGTGATGTTCAGATGACGTCAAACCCAACGGGATGCCATCAATAAACTACACAGAATCACACTACACACCTACGCCATGATTACATTCAGGCAGACTGTAGAATATAACCTCTTTGGACCATTTATATACTTATTGGAAACAAGCTACAAAATGTAATACCTTGGGAAATGCCGTTTAATAGGCTTAATTTTCGCTAAATGGATTTATCAACTTTTAATACTTTTTAAGACCCCGCGGACCCCCTGGCCTGTATCTTACATCCTTGATCAAAACATTTGCATCAGTCTTCATTGTATACTTTTAATAAAGATGCTGTAAAAAAACAAACCCAGAATTCCTCCACATGGATTTTGTGTTTCTCTCCAGAGCAGCCAGGCCAAAGCGCTCCTCTGATGGGCCAGGAGAGTCACCTGAATAACCAATCACAATGAAACAATGTTATAAAAGTAAAATGAGAAGTGCATTGTCTGGGTGTGGGTCCACATACTTTATAGAGCATTGTCTATTGAAAAAACTGTCCAAATTATATAATAAATACATAAATCCCTAAGTCTCATTGTTGGTATGAGATTTTCTGAGTGAAGGGCTGATGAACAACTGAGAGTGTGTCACCTTGATGCCCTTGGGGTCAGGGACCTCGGCCTCAGGGTCGGGGCAGGACTCCAGGGATTTGTGGAGATGGTCGGTGGCCTCGCAGGTCGCATTTTTTACCGCTAGTAGACGGTTGTTAGTCATCCTGCCACCGTAAAAGGACTGAACCTCTGACATCCCTGGAGACAAAGATGACAGAGACAAGGTGTTTGCATGAGAGATACAGAACAACTGTGTGGGAGGAAATACATGTAGAGAAAAGGAGCCAGATTTTCAGAATACACAAGGTAGATACTTTAAAGGTCTCCTATTATACTGTTTTTCATCAATATATAATAGGTCTCAGATATATACAGAACATGTCTCTGAAGCGTTTGGCTCCAAACACCAAACAGATCATTGCAGCATTACCCATAATCCCCTCTGTTTCAGCCCTGTTTCCAAAGTGCTGATTCTCTGTCTGTTACTTTAGATCAGGGGTCCCCAAACTTTTTCCTGTGAGGGCCACATCACTTTTCCCTTCTCTGATGGGGGCCGGGTCAGTTTGTAACAGAAAAAGTGTGACGATCGCATGGGTGTCTAAACGTAAACATTTATTGTTTTTTAGAAAGCCACACATAACCAAATATTAATAACCCTTTCCGGGATCTTCACAGAAAAAAAGTCAGGAAATAAATAATATCACTATTAATGAAATAAATAATAACCAAATAACCCTCTCTGGGTTCTTCACAGAAAAAAAGTCCATTGAAAATTACTGTAACTTTCTGTTGTGCCGTGCACAATCTTAACAGGTAAAAGTTTAGCTTAGTTGTCAGAGCAGAATCTCTCAAAATAAACGTGGATTTACGTAAAAAAAACAATTTTTTCGGGGTTCGGGTGTTTTGTTTGATTTTAAACAAACAAAGTCTTGGCTTTCAGAATATGAAACTTTTATTTCCAATTTATTTATTTCTCACTCGCAATCTGCTCTTCCGCAGCGCCGCCCCCCCCTCACTCCGCTGAAATTATGAATGTAAGAGTATAGTAATCATAGATAACACTACAGGGTCCGTTACAGTTTGTTTTCATCTGATTTCAATTAAACAAAGTCTTGGCTTTCAGAATATTAAACTTGTTTCGGCAAATTCAGATGATAAATACAACTTTGAAGCTTCGGCATAATTACAAGCGGAGAACGGAGTAACTTGACGTCACAGCAGGCATAACAACAGCCGGTGTTTCTCGTGAGTGTTTCCCCCGGGAAACAAACACAATACACACAAACGCAAAATTACACAAGCACACACACTCACACACACACACACACGTATACACACACACTCGCGAGCTTCCCTTCCAAACGAAAATATCTTCCTTCGGTAGTATTTTGATCATTTGCTAATAATCAATCAGATCGATGGATTCCAGAGAAGAGACAACTTTGAAGGCCTTTTTCTCAAAATGATGACTCGGTGACAGTCATTGTATAATGTGACATATGTTGCTTAATATTTGAAGTACAAAAACAATCCTGATATCATTAGAAAGCTAGGAATCTCCTCTTCCCAACAGTGTATACAACTAAAAAGGTGTCTTCGGGTCAATGCGACTGATTTTGATAGAGCAGGTCACAACATTTTGACAGGGGCTAGTCTAGGATTCGCGTGGCCAGACTGAAAATGTTTTTTTTTTAAATAAATCATAATGCGTCTCTGGTATTGTTCAGGGGGCCGGGCCAAATGTGGAGGCGGGCCTTAGTTTGGGGACCACTGCTTTAGATGAAAATAAGGAGCCCCTCCCCACGCCCCTCTGACAGATATCTGGTTAGAAAGATCTCAATGGTGCTCTAGGAGGAGATTCAGGTGATAAGGTGGGGGGGGTTACCTTGGTTGCTGATTGGCTAATGGCTACACAAGCCAAAACATCGTTATGACATCATAAAGTGGCTAAAATCAGATCAGCTCATTTTCAGACAGGTTTTTATATAAATGGATCAGGACAAAAAGTCAACCTACCTCCATGCATCTGGGGGTGACCCTGGCCCAGCTGGAGCCCCAGGGAGCTGCCGGAGGCCCCGTGTTGGGACAGGCCCGGGGCGGGGAGCAGGATGGTGCCCCCCTGCCGGGCGAATGGGTTCACCTGGCTGCTAATTGGACAAGCATCTGCACTTTTATGTCCAGCCTCGGCCTCTGAACAAATACATTTCAGTTCCAGGGGTTAGAAACTATAAAACCATATTTATCAGAAAAAAGTGTATTGTTTGGTAAAAAAAAGCGGTATTTTTATAAACATTATATATATTTATATTATTCCTAGTGTACAGGGAGTGAGTTACCAGGCTGAGAAGCAGCAGCGAGGCTCATGGACTCCAGGGCGTCCTCCAGCTCTTTCACCTGAGTCATCAGCCTCTCTCCTTTATCAGGCAGAGCCGCCAGATTCACCACAGACAGAGTCGCCTTAGGAGGAAGATGATGGGTCAGAGGACAGACGGACAAAATGTGATACATATAAAAGTTGCAACCCTAGGACAAAAACTGTGATTCATTTGTTTAAAAGTCAACTGTTGTCCCCTATTTTTGAGGTTTTGCAGTTATCTGTAGTACTAAATAAATACTGAAGACTGTGACCACTATAAATCAGTATTTCCTGGTCTAGGTTATAGGTGATTAAAAGAATGTTTCCCTGTCTACAGAGTCAGAGATACTGTTCCTTCAATCACACCAACAAAATATAACATTATTTGTGCGCGGCTGTGGCTCAGTGGGGTGCTGGACTTCGAATCAGGGGGTAGCAAGTTCAAGTCCCACTGCAGTCAGCATGTCGTTGTGTCCCTGGGCAAGACACTTCACCCCTAAAGTGTTCCTGTGGGGATTGTCCACAGTACTGAATGTATGTAAGTCGCTTTGGATAAAAGCGTCTAACAAATGACATGTAATGTAATGTTATGCACAGGGCTGCACATAACTGGTGCGCATGCGCACCTCCGCCAAAAAATGAGCACCGGGCTGCTTCTCAGGTCGACTATTTTCATTTCCTCGCTCCTCGGTCCTCGGTCTCACCGGAAGTTGATTTGCCTGCGCCATCTTGAGTACCGTCCCATGGCTCTTATTTCTGCCGGAGGACCGAGGATCGAGGAGCGATCATGGAGGAGCGATAACCGAGGAACCACCAGACCATCCTCCGATGAAATCCTCAGATACTCACCCCGCCCCCTTACTGTGTATCGCTCACTGATTGGACGAGGCAGTGCATGCACTGATCTGATGCTTCTTGACATGAGAGCAATACCCCAGCGGAGTGAAGAAAATACATGAACCTCACGGGACTCACTCCTCAGTTTATACTGTGTTTTGTTTCAATTCCTGTATCATTTAGTTACAAATATGTGATATATCTAAACAACAAAGTGGTCAAACATTTTTTTATTCATTTATTGGAAACATTTTCATGATCGCTTTTTTCGTTTATACATTTTAAGAATGGTGTTTATCTTTTTTGAGAATGACTTCTTATTTTATTTCATGTATTTGGATCTACAACAGATGATACTAATGTTTATGTCAGTAAATGTGTACTAACAGAGGCGGGGGTGTTTGTGGAAATAACGGGTACAGAGCTGGCTGCTGCCAGACGAACAGCTGTGCAGCGTCATCACAAACGGACGTCGCTTCACGTGACGCTCCGGAGGAAAGGACGTCCCATTGCTCTTAAAACTCATTTCCCTGCTTCTCGTGGGCTGCTTCTCAGGTCGATTAAATTAAATCCTTGCTTCCCTCACTTGCGTCGTTTCCCTGCGTTTAGTCCCTCCCACCAGGGAAGCATGGAGGGACGCAAGGAAACCACGCGAAGCAGGGAAATGAGTTTTAAGAGCAATGGGACGTCCTTTCCTCCGGAGCGTCACGTGAAGCGACGTCCGTTTGTGATGACGCTGCACAGCTGATCGTCTGACAGCAGCCAGCTCTGTCCCCGTTATTTCCACACACACCCCCGCCTCTGTTAGTACACATTTACTGACACAAACATTTGTATCATCTGTTGTAGATCCCAATAAATAAAATAAAATAAGAACTCATTCTCAAAAAAGATAAACGCCATTCTTAAAATGTATAAACGAACAATAGTTTGATTAATATTGATTAGAGTGCACAAAAGAAATAAAATAATTGAGAGAAGAAAAAGAGATATGTTATCTATCAAAACCCAGTTAGATTAACATTCATTGGATTGCACACTTTGTTTGTTTGTTTGTTTGTTTGGATATGTAGCACATTAACATTTTAATAGCACTTAATGACTGACTGAATGGAAATGACAATAAATGAAAATGTAAAACGAAAAAAGCGATCATGAAAATGTTTCCAACAAATGAATAAAATGATTTTTGACCACTTTGTTGTTCAGATATATCACATATTTGTAACTAAATGAAACATGAATTGAAACAAAACACGGTATAAACTGAGGAGTGAGTCCCGTGAGGTTCATGTATTTTCTTCACTCTGCTCTCATGTCAAGAAGCATGAGATCAGTGCATGCACTGCATCGTCCAATCAGTGAGCGATACACAGTAAGGGGGCGGGGTGAGTATCTGAGGATTTCATCTGAGGATGGTCTGGTGGTTCCTCGATTATCGCTCCTCCATTATCGCTCCTCGCTCCTCGATCCTCGGTCCTCCGGCAGAAATAAGAGCCATGGGACGGTACTCAAGATGGCGCAGGCAAATCAACTTCCGGTGAGACCGAGGACCGAGGAGCGAGGAAATGAAAATAGTCGACCTGAGAAGCAGCCCTGGTTTCCTTTCGTCCCGCCATGCTTCCCTGGTGGGAGGGACTAAACGCAGGGAAACGACGCAAGTGAGGGAAGCAAGGATTTAATTTAATCGACCTGAGAAGCAGCCCCGGGCTGTTTCTCAGGTCGATTAAATGAAAGTCATTCTCAAAAAAGATAAACGCCATTCTTAAAATGTATAAACGAAAAAAGCGATCATGAAAATGTTTCCAATAAATGAATAAAAAAATGTTTGACCACTTTGTTGTTCAGATATATCACATATTTGTAACTAAATGATACAGGAATTGAAACAAAACACAGTATAAACTGAGGAGTGAGTCCCGTGAGGTTCATGTATTTTCTTCACTCCGCTGGGGTATTGCTCTCAAGAAGCATCAGATCAGTGCATGCACTGCCTCGTCCAATCAGTGAGCGATACACAGTAAGGGGGCGGGGCTAGTGTCTGAGGATTTCATCGGAGGATGGTCTGGTGGTTCCTCGGTTATCGCTCCTCCATGATCGCTCCTCGCTCCTCGCTCCTCGGTCCTCCGGCAGAAATAAGAGCCATGGGACGGTACTCAAGATGGCGCAGGCAAATCAACTTCCGGTGAGACCGAGGACCGAGGAGCGAGGAAATGAAAATAGTCGACCTGAGAAGCAGCCCGGGTCATTTGAAAAAAGGCGCATTTGCGTACCAACATTGAGAAAGAGGAGAGAGGAGAGAGGAGAGAGGAGAGAGGAGAGAGGAGAGAGGAGAGAGAGGAGAGGATGAGAGGATGAGAGGAGAGAGGATGAGAGGACGAGAGGAGAGGAGAGAGGAGAGAGGAGAGAGGATGAGAGGAGAGAGGAGAGAGGAGAGAGGAGAGAGGGAAAGAAAGATATTTGCGAGTTGCATATGAACTCAGGGTCGGCCCCGTAGCACTGGCGTTATAGATGTTCGCCTAGGGCGCCAGATCCGGGGAGGCGCTGCGCTGGCAGCTCTGGGAGGGGAAAACAATTTTTTGACCGTTGGGGCTCATCCTAATTTTCGGCCTTGATGTAACAACATTCATAATTAAGTAAATGTAACACCCTCTTCACCCCGGTTACACGTTTCATTTGCCCTGTACGATGGGCGCTGTAAGTGATGAAAATGGGGGATGTTGGCTTATCTGGCACCCGCAGCTCACAGCGAAAGTGCGAGTGAGCGTGGGATCGAGGGACGGTGCACCGGTTCCGGCGCTGTTGTTATTAGCATCTGGTGCTAGCTGCTCTAACGGATATAAGAAGAAGATGTTTCTACAATAATGTGGAGGTAGAGTCCTCTCCAGTCAGACTGAGAGGCTGATAACTACAGCTCAGTGAGGTAAAGGACTCTGAGTGTTTAGATAGTTCACTTTAGTCTAAGTTGTCTCAGTGGGTCTCAAACGTTTTGATCACAATTTATGTAAACACATATTTCCAAGGCACTCCTTTATAATTATTGGGATAAACAGGTTTGAAATCATTCCAATGTATACTATAGGACAGTAACCAAAAATATCCTTTAAAACTGGAGAGATAAAAAAAAAAATGCATAAATAAATGTTAAGGTAAAATAAGATATGAATGAACAACATAAATAAAATAAGTTACATGAATTTGTTATTGGCTATGGTAGGTTATTGGTTATGTTGACATACTTATTTGATTACATCCACTTTTCTAAGATGACAACAGAGACTTTCGACCCAAAACCAGCTGTTGACTTGTGGATGCAAGCAGCTAATCACAGACTCAACCAGAGAGGAAGTAGTAGGCCTACATCATCAGCTACCATGTCTGACAGAGAGGAAGACAGTGAGGAGAACAGTCAGGAGGGTAGTGATGACAGCTTGTAGGATTACTGCTCGTGTTGTCTTGTGTTCACCTCTGCATGTGTGTTCTGTGTTCACCTCTGCATGTGTGTTCAGTGCCGTGTGTCTGGCAAATAAAGTCAAGACCCCCTCAAAAGTTACGGTTTATTTCATTTTAAGGATGAGCACCAAGCAACATCTCCAGGTGCTCCTTTGAGAACCAGGGCAAAAAAGTTATGTGCACCCCTGGTTATGCAGCACTTAATATTAACCCAATTGCAGGTGGTTTACAAAACCAAGGATGTTACGAGCAGTAAAATGTGAATACAAAACAAAATAGCCTCAATCAAAACCATCTCTAAGTCTTTCCTAGGGAGGGTGCATCTAGTATGGCTTACCTTTTTCTGTTGGAGTTGAGCAGTGAGCAGGCTGTGAAGCCCTTTAGGAACTTCCTGTTGACCTTTGACCTTAGGTTGGAAGCCAGCGAAGGTGGTCAGGGTCTTTTGAACTGCAGCAACAGGAAGAGATTTCTGAGTCGCAGGTTTCACTGACACCACCACGACATCATCATCATCATCTTCATCATCTGGTTGTGTTGGTCTGGTAGATGTGGGGTTCCTGGTGTTATCAGAGTCACTGGACACCGGGGTGATTTGACTAGATATAGGTTTAGAAACGGTCTCTTTTACAGTAGGCTTGGTTTGTTCCACCAGAGAGGCTTTACCCTTGTTTGGATGCTGGGGTGACTCCTTAAGAGGATCTTGTAATGTTGTATGTACCTTCTGGGGGTGAGCACCCTTAACATTGGAGGTAGAAACTGTTTCTTCTGTTTCTCCTTGCTTTGGGTGGCGCTCTTTAGTCTTGTCTTGCACATTATCTGTATTATTTTCCAGACCGTTTGCTTCCGAACTGTTTCTCTCCTCGTCGGAAACTCTCTTCTTTACCTTCATCCCCGGTGGGAGTGGTTTACCTCGGTAAGAATCCTCTTGATTCACCTTTTCTCCAGCCACCTCCACATTTTCTTTCTGATAGCCCTCTCTTCCCTCAGCCTTGTGACTTGGCTTGCCGTCTTTCTCCTCTCTTCTTTTCTCTTCATCTCCCCCCCGATGCATCCTTCTCCACTCAGAGTCCTTGTTCGTCTTGCCACCGGCTTTAAAGGGGTTTAGGACGGGTGGCAGACAAGAGGGCTGAAGCTGGGTGTAAGATAGAGGGTTTCTCTTATCTTTCTCTGGCTGCAATGATGGAAGACAAAATATATATTTTTTTTTAACTGGTAGTGGACACACAACGGAAAAAAAAGATTGGTAATAACATGATTGTATAGTCGGTGATTTAATTTTCCCCATGTCCAGTTATATCTCCTTGCTCTAGCATATGTGGTCTCTTTGGAAATCATGAAATCAATACAACATACATTTTGAACATAAGTGTGTCAATGGTGTGTATGGTGTAATCTTACTGCAGTCCAAGGCACATTTCCACACCACTTATGGCCTGCCTTTTTGCCGTCAATGCACCTGTAGAACAACCTGGAAAAAAAGAAGTCCCTTAGTTCAAACTGCCTAATGTAAATGTAAAACTGCAACTGGTGTTACTTTTCATTTTGTTTTGTTACTTCCTGTTTTGGACCATTAAACAATGCACCCACCTGTGGCTCTGCTGTTGTAGACTGTAGGTGAGGGCCTGGAGCTCCACCATTGAATCTTCATGTTGGAGGCAGTGGGATGGAGAGATGCTATAGGAGAATAAAGTTTAAAAACAGGGCCATACATCTATGCACAAACACCCCTATTTATCTCTCCTAACAACAAAATGAAGGAAGTAAAATCTAGAATTTGCCAAACAAGTCTACTTTTATGCCAGTGATATTTGACAATGACATGACTCACAACCAGAATGTATATGGCTTATATCAGTGGAATATAATTGGATACCAATATGAATGGTACAACCATATCACTTTGTGTATGAAAATAATTGAGGTTTCGATATAGGAAAAGTAAGGACACTATTGAGGGACATATAGCTTTTCCCCCGCAATTACAAGGATTTCAATTGATGACACTGCATGTGGAGTTGCTTGGATCCACCCTTCACTTTCGATATCCTCTCTTAATTGGTATCAGGGATCAGTTAGGATTTTTAAAAAACTTTTTAGACAGATCTGAATTCCAGACTGCAATGGATGGACTGAGTATATTTGCTTTTAAGAAGTGTCTCTGTTGTAATGTATTGTGAGAAACTGTGTTAGAAACTCATGTAGTAGCACTTTAAATGCTATAAAGCTAGTGCATTTGCAGTATTTGAATAATGCTGGTTGATTCCACGTATTATAGGTGGATTTGGATACAAAGTGTCAGCTAGATGAAATGTAATGTAGGTGATGTGACATGTGAGATTACCTGGACACATGACAGAAATCACAGCCTTGCTTGTCAACGCAGACGAAGTAGCTTTTGCCTTTACTTGGTCCATCTTTAACGCCCGTTTTTAGCATACATATGCTGCCTGCATGGGGGACGTTGAGAAAGAGATGTTGACTTAATCATTTAGCTAAACTTTCTTTACAGTGCAAGACAGAAACGAAAATGCGTGGACACATTCGGTTTCGTTCATTCAGACCTTCAACAGAACATGCCTTGTCATGCGCATTTCTAGCATAAATATGACTTTTGGAAACTAAACACAATATGTAGCTTTATATTTTTTATAAGAAACACTTAACCAATTGTGACTTACCGTGGACATTACATAAAATCTTCTCCATTGTACTGGCACATTCACTTCAGTTGCTGTTGCTTGGACATGAAAGTTAAAATGTTCGTATGAACCAATCGCATCAGTCAGAAAACACATCCGGTATATACATACCAGAATAAATGTCGACGTACACATGTTTGGATACAACCAGCGCCATATGGATACAACTAACTTTGGATAGCCATAAAAGTAAATATATGACAATGCGAATATATCAAAATGTAGAATACACCAGGATTTAAGTATACAAAGTGAAAAGTAAACAGTACGCCAGATTGAATTATCTCAGTGACTTTTACTGTGAAATACTTTTTGCAAGCGAGCCGTTAAACCGGATATAATTAAAAACTATTAAAAACAATATACATATATATATATATATATATTCTGTGTAAATATGACTTTATATTGATAAAAACTCACCGTTGATAACAAACAACTGTTATGGTCGTTTATTGTAAACACAAAGGCTTATTTAAAACAAAATTAGCGAAACGGATTTTTTCAAGACAGTTGAACTACATACCCACAATGCAACATTTTATTCGTCATCTTTTTTTACTCTCGCGGGTTTTGTTTTGGTATGGCGGCAGGCTTCGAAAGTTCTGTATGTTATGTTTCTATTTTGCACTTTTACACTCCAGTGACACCATTTATCGCCCATGTTGAAGGTAAATCCCATGTTTTAAACACTTTTAAAAATGTTGCTAATGTTTCTGCCTCGTCACTACAGTGTAACAACTGTCAACATAGCTTTGTGTATCTTCAAAGAGCCTGCTAACAGCAAATATCACCAGGGACGCCTTTTAAATGAAATTAACTACATTGTACTCCGAGCACCATTCCACTATCTATTACATTTCATAAATGTTGTCACTTTGTCAATGATTAGGACGCTAGATTTCATAAGCAGCTGTGGTTTATCGTTGCTAACCAAACAAACTGCCGTTTAACCGTCTAAACCAGAGTTGTCCATTTATTTTGACTGAGGGTCACCTACAGAAAGATATACAAAGGGCTGGGCCACTCACTAGAGGTAAGGTATATTGCCTTGTAAATCAGAAAATGCAATCAAATATAGGTAAATTATTACAAACAGCCTACCTCAAAGCTTTCAACTAATAGGGTTTCATTCATTTTGTTACAACTAGTGTCTGCAGCTCACTCCTTAAAACAGAAGCCTCAGATTGGGGGGTGGGGGGATAAAACAAAATAGGAAGGGTATATTTCAATCTTGTTATGCAAATAAGTTATTGGGCTTTTTCGATCAACTAAGATTTGTTAGAAAATGTTTTCAAGTTTAATTGACTGATTTTTTTGTGTGCTCTTATTAACACATGAAAAATACATTTTTACATATTTAAAAAGTAGAATATAAGACATGGGTCATATTTCATTATACTTTGAGAATTCCCTGCGGTCCAATAAAAAATGGACCACGGGCCGCAGTTGGGACACTTTGGTCTGACCGGTGAAAGCCAGACACTTATTAAAAAAGCTAATTGTTATTTCTACGTAAAGGGGTTACTAATTTATATATAGTTTTCTTGGATCTTGGCACCATTTGAGCGTGCTGTACGGTATTTAATCAGGTTGAGATTAACCTTTATTAACCTGTCACCATAATCTGTCTCCAAATCCTGGATTAGCGAGCCCTGCCTGAGACAGCGCCGTCATCCTCATGTCATCTCCAGCCGGGCTTCACTTCTCCCAGGCAGACTTTGTGGCCCGGTGGATGCCAAGTAGCACCAGAGCCGGGGTCATCCTCAGCCCCTGCCCGGATTTGGCAGGCTCCTTGAGACACACCTCTGCCATGGGACCCTCCTCCCTGGAGCCAGACGACTCCTTTGCATCCAATTTCGCCCCTCTGCCCGGCTCAGCAGACAGCAGTTGCCTGGGTGTGGATGGATTTACTCGGTCACCTGGAGGAGCGAGAGCTGGGACGGACATGCCAGTGAACGGTCTGTCCTCTGGGAGACATTTAGATGGAGAGTTGGGCAGTTTGGACGAGATGGCAAGCAAATCACAGGATCTGCCCCTAAGGATGAAGCTTGAACAGGTTAGGACATTCTGTTTTAGAATCTGGTGTCTCATACAAATAATGTTTTGTCTCCCAAGGCTTCAACACAGGTTAATTGCCTGACTGTCATTGTAATAACAACATGAGTTTTGTTTGATATTCTAAAGCAGAATGCACAATCTGGTTGTCAGAATGAACACTGAAGAGATTTAATTAATGTGACTCAGAATATTACCTGGAAGCCAAATGAACATGACATCTCTTCCCTCCATCATGCAATCTGATCAGTGGACATCTTCATTTAGTAACCTTTACTCTACACACTTAAAATAGCCGTGCAGCAGCACATGCATTATAATAATAATAATCCTTATATGTATTACAGCGCTTTATCAAAGACTCTCAAAGCGCTTTACAAATACACATTACACATACAGATATGTAATGGTCATCTACTGTGGACAATACCCACAGGAGCAAATTCGGGTGAAGTGTCTTGCCCAAGGACACAACGGCCTGACGCAGTGGGGCGGGAGCGAGTTTCGAACTGGAGTTCCCCAACACCCCCTTGATCTGATGATCAAACGCACAGACCACTGCGCCACCCGTCCCATTATGTTGGCTAATCTGTTGTTGGGTCCTGAACGTGTGAATTTCCGGCTCTTTGTGTGGATTTAAATGGTGATTACACCACTGCTTCCTGTGTACTTAACATCTACCGACCCCATCTCACACAACCTTCGCCTCTACTTGCTATTAATAGTGTTTCCCCGAAAGCTACCCTTATCAGAAAATACTTGGAAGTGCGTGCATGCAAGTCAATCAGCACTTTTAACATATTCACTCTCTAAATGTGCAGTGTGCAACTGTGATGGACAGCAACAAATACATTTACAAGTTAGAGTGGTGAGGTGGAATTCGTGTCAGTATGAAGTCACAGGTTCACTACATTCCACTTAATATGAAGCCATGTCTAGTCAACATATATTTAAGCCTACTGAAAACACTGTGAGTTGCTGTGGATAAGAGTGTAACATTTAGATATCGTTGTGTGTGTTATTGTGCAGTTGAGGAAATGGCAGCAGCAGATGCAGGAGCAGCTGAAAGCCAATCAGCTGGGGGAGCTGCTTCGCCTCCAGGAGGAGCAGCAGAGGCTGCTGGGAATGATGGATGGATCTCAGCACTGTGCAGGAGGTAAGAAAGAGAAACAACCAGAAAAACTGCACATGTGACAGTTTGCTTCATTTAAGAAATACATACAGTACAGTGTTTCCCCTAGGATGGAGTCATAGCAGCGGTGCTAAGGCACGTGGGCCCAGCAGAATGTGAGCGCGGAGCGCGTGGAATTTTTTTGTGTGTTTGCGTGCGAAGTGCGCCCCGCCAATTTGTTTCTGTGTCTGCCAGCACAAGAAAGGCTCTTGAGGCCTAGTACCAGGGCTGGTTCTGGACAATTTGCTGCCCTAGGCGAGATTTTATATATAAAGAATAAATGAAACATCTCTACAAAAGACAAATACACTACAAAAACAGAAATGCATTGACATGGTAATGTGTTCAGTATTGTATGAACATGTTTGAAGATCGGGCAGGGATGCAGATCGGGTAGAGACAACTGGTGTCACTACCCGATCTGCAGCTCTGCCCGATCTGCAGTGCGCATGTGCGAGATGGTCCGCCATATTGGACAACTCCGTACGGCAACTCAACTAGGACACTTGACACAGTGGCGTTTGGCAAAGCTCAAAAAGAAAACAAAAAAAAGCGAGAGAGATGAGTTATTGTTGTTACAACGTGACTTCTCTATTATTTAACAACTCTTTTTATTGGGTTCTTTTATTTGGGGTTAAGTACATTGTCAGAATAAGTGACAAATGAATTTAACTTCTGTTAGACAGCTATCATACTGAATAAATATTTACTGTGAATGTGTGCAACAATGTATGGCATATGGCTGTCTAACAGAAGTTAAATCCATTTCTCACTTATTCTGACAATGTACTTAACCCCAAATAAAAGAACCCAATAAAAAGAGTTGTTAAATAATAGTGAAGCCACGTTGTAATAAACAATAACTCATCTCTCTCTCTTTTTTGAGTGTTCTTTTTCTGCTTTGCCAAACGCCACTGTGTCAAGTGTCCTATTAGAGTTGCCGTATGTAGTTGTCAAATATTCGGACCATCTCGCACATGCGCACTGCAGATCGGGCAGGGAGGCAGATCGGGTAGGGAGGCAGATCGGGTAGGGAGGCAGATAGGGCAGATCGGGTACGGAGGCAGATCGGGTAGGGAGGCAGATCGGGTAGGGAGGCAGATCGGGTAGGGAGGCAGATCGGGTAGGGAGGCAGATCGGGTAGGGAGGCAGATCAGCAGCGTAGGGAGGCAGATCGGCAGGGAGGCAGATCGGGTAGGGAGGCAGATCGGGTAGGGAGGCAGATCGGGCAGGGAGGCAGATCGGGTAGGGAGGTAGATCGGGTAGGGAGGCAGATCGGGCAGGGAGGCAGATCGGGCAGGGAGGCAGATCGGGTAGAGAGGCAGATCGGGCAGGGAGGCAGATCGGGCAGGGAGGCAGATCGGGTAGGGAGGCAGATCGGGCAGGGAGGCAGATCGGGTAGGGAGGCAGATCGGGTAGGGAGGCAGATCGGGTAGGGAGGCAGATCGGTGTAGGGAGGCAGATCGGGTAGGGAGGCAGATCGGGTAGGGAGGCAGATCGGGTAGGGAGGCAGATCGGGCAGGGAGGCAGATCGGGGTAGGGAGGCAGATCAGGCAGGGAGGCAGATCGGGTAGGGAGGCAGATCGGGTAGGGAGGCAGATCGGGCAGGGAGGCAGATCGGGTAGGGAGGTAGATCGGGTAGGGAGGCAGATCGGGCAGGGAGGCAGATCGGGCAGGGAGGCAGATCGGGTAGGGAGGCAGATCGGGCAGGGAGGCAGATCGGGCAGGGAGGCAGATCGGGTAGGGAGGCAGATCGGGCAGGGAGGCAGATCGGGTAGGGAGGCAGATCGGGTAGGGAGGCAGATCGGGCAGGGAGGCAGATCGGGTAGGGAGGCAGATCGGGTAGTGA